TATATATATATATATATGAAATTTGCCATTAATTTGTTTCAGAATTTGTTAAGATTCTATTCTAAAAGATTAAGGGCTTTGAGGGAGGCTGAGAAGGGTATATTGATTATTGATACGTAAATTTATGTTTAATAATGTTTTGGACTTCTCACACGCGTAGCATTTTTCTCTGGCCTCCTAGCAAATATTTATTTTCCATCCCATATATATATGATTTACTATCAATAAGATAGTATAAATCAGAATATAATTTATTATCACTCACTTTATTAAGTTTTTGTCTATAAGTTAATAAAGTGTCGCTATTAATAAAAAAGAGAAGAAGCTATAATATAAAATCTAAAATTAAGACTTACATATTGATGGTTATCGAAATCAATACGGAACTTAACCATTACGCTTCGAGATCCTGGAATATTGTTTGAAGTTTCTAAAACTCTAATACTTAATTCTGTATTGTATAAGTCTTTTGCTATCTGAAATAATTGTCCTGTAAGAGAGTAGAATTATATTATACATATAATAGAATATTGTATGTATGAATATATAGAAAGTATACGTATATATAGAGAAACATATAATTAAACTGACGAGTTACCCTCCGACCTCCCGCACACACACATATAAGAAAACTTCGAAGTCAATTTTATGCGCTCACGCATTGTAATAATCGTGATATTATCAATTATTTTTTAAACACACAAACACATACATACAATCAAGAATAATATTTTACAAACAAGAAATTATTTTAGTATTATAAAATACCATACTATAAATTCCTAATTCATATATTCTTGGAAACATATTTTCAAAAAATATGCGTTAAGCGGAAGTGATCAACTCTCACCCATAAGATAATGCGTAAAGCCTTGTCGAGTACTTCTATAAACCAGAACAACTCCCTGCGGATCGACATGTGTTGTATACATAGAAGGACTCTTCATTTTTGGATATGTAAACCTCATTTGCATGTGAATATTGTCAACGCTTTGTAAAAAATCGCAAAAGTAACGACCAGTTGCTTTTACAGTGCAATCGTATCTAATAAAATAAATTAAACGCAAATTTTAAATCGGTTTTTATATAATAATATTAAAATTAACTAATATTAAAATTATATTTTTTGATTTCTGATGCTGCAAATCTTTCGCGATCGTAAAGTAGGGATATATAAAATTTAATGAAATAAATATTTAAGAATTAATTAAAAATTTTTTAAACTGAGAACATTAACAGTTAATAATTTTGCAGAAATTGTATAAAACTATTGACAATTATATATATTGTAATTTTTTTCCGACAAAAAACTTACCCTAAATTACTGAAAAATCTAACAAAGCACTTTCCAAAAAATTGCATAATGTTATCCATAGAATCACCAGTATACGTGGCAAGAGCCGCGGCCAAATTGGTCATTAGTTCATCCGAGTATATCTGTCTTGTATTAAAAACCATGTGTTTACAATCAGCTTTTTCCAGAATGTGAAGCCATACTTCTTCGCCAAATTCTAACTGTAAAAAAGATTTCTTGCTTGCTGTACTTTATCTCATATATTTTGTCTCCTCAGTTATTATAAGTAAATCTTTCTTTCTCTCTTTCTTTCTTTCTTTCCCTTTCTTTTGAATGGCATTAAATTTATTACATAGAAATGTGTGTGTGAGTGTGTATTATATATATATATCTATATATATATATATATATTTATAAATGTAAGTTAAAATTTATATTTTATTTCTTTTAACTGAAATAGTTGCACATATAACACATATGCGCAGATATAGAGCTCATAACGCAAAATGTTAAATTTAAGATATTGTATGTTAAAGAAGAACATCTATAATAATACATCGATTGATATGCCAGAAAATATATAATAGGTTCCATAGATTACAAATGGATTCAGATAATCAAGCCAATTTCCCAGCTCGCATAGACCAATTAATGTTTCTTTTATTAGAATGAGAGGCGGTCACGAAAATGAATATACCATTAATGCGGAGAGCTTTTAGAAACTATATCGCAAATGAGCACGCGAATTTGCAGATGGAAATGTTCCAATAAACGATTAATTACAAGTATACATATATGTACATATAATATATTTCTAAGATATTTCGAATTTTACAAAAATATATGTTTTAAAGCTTAAACCAACTTAAATAAAAAAATTTAAAAAGTTTTTATAATATGCAGTGCATAAATATTTTAAGTATCCTATATTATTATATTTTTATCATATAATTAGAATTATATATTATTATGTGTGTGTTATTATTTATACCTTTAATGATGTAATATTATTAGAAAAAGATTATACAAAAAAAACTTGCACATTGCTTCCTCATCATCTTATCTTACAATGCTTAAGCTGCTTTAAGCATGCGGATTTTTCAATTTTTGCTTCCTCATAGAGGAAGCTTTGTGAGCAAAATAAAAATTAAAA